GATCACGGCCGCTGATGTAAAGGCGAAGGCCCCACTCAACCTGACGAGTCCAGTGGTATTGTTTGCCGGGCGTGGTGGTGCACGCCCATAATCCCATAAAACTAGTTTGGATTACAGTGAGCTCCAGGTCGACACCCATAATCCCATAAACCCAGCCTGGATTACACAGTGAGCTTAGCCTGGATTACACAGAGAGCTCCAGGTCAATCTCATCTGCATAGCTGAGACCTTCATCTCAGAAAAGCCAAATAGAGTCATAGATTGTGTCAATGCCTCAATGGTAGAAGTTACTTTTCCAATGTCAAATGCCAGCGGGCTCCCACACATATGATTCTCTCCATTGTTTTATTTTTCCTGTTCACAGTGTGTATATGGGGGGGGCAATTAAAGCTATCACTTCCTTTTCTTTCTGCATTCTATCACCACCACATCACCACTGCTGAAATCCAACCGCAGACTTCAACTGCTGGTTTCTCCTCCATTTGAACATCGAATACACACTTAGCACATTCCTCAAACCACAGTTCTCCTTCCACTCCAAATGTGCTCCACTTTCATCCTTCTGCATGGCAGAAAACATGGGCTCCACCTTTGGAGTGTTTAGGCCAAAAATCTTGAAATCATCATCATCCCCCCCCCATCCAGAACCTGGCCATCTCTTACCACTTCAGTCATTCCCAAACTAGCCCAAGCTATTATTCTCCCTCAGCTGCTGCATCAAAACAGCCTCTAACTAGCAGCTTCTTCACACTCTGGTGTGTTTGATACACAGCAACCAGAGAGATCTTTGGAAAGCTAAGTCAAGGATCAAAAATATGCAGCAGACTCCAATGTGCTCAGAGTAAAAACTAGGCTCCTGATTGTTACCTATCTTTAAAAATAAGCGAGCTTTAAAAAATAAAACACCAAACTGGAGGAACCATCAGGATTTATCAGAAAGGAATAAACAACTAATATCACATACATCTCCAAGTTTCTATTGTCCCCATCCCACAATCTGTATACAGAAGACAAGGGTGATTCCCCATGATATTTGGACCTTTATAAGCAGAATTATTACCTGTGTTACCTTTTAAAGCTGATAGTCCTTTATGTCAGTTGACCTAGAAATATGACAGAATCCTTTTCATGGAAAGAAGGTTTCTTTTCACTTAGAAGAAAAATAAAATCAAACCTGAGAGGCCATATCATATCTCCTTCCCAACCCAAGGCATGTCAATAAGAATAGGAGAAGATAGAATTATTTAGTATTCCAAACAAATGCAGTTGCTTGTTGGAAGCTTTAAATATTGAATGTGAGGAATTTGAAAGGGAAAGGAGGAAGATGGACAAGAGAGGGAGCCCAGTTCAAGAGAAATTTCCACATATGCATGTGTAGAAGCCTTAGGACAGTTTTAAACTATTGTTGACACAATGTGCTGTTCACATTCTTCCATCTGCTGTTACTCCAAGCCCTTGGTTGAAATCTGTTGAATGAATATACAGAAGCTTCCCACCAAGGACTGGGGTGATAATAGTATAGGGTGAGATGATAATCAGACCAGAGTTACCCAGGCAGCTAAGATGTGGAACTAAGATGAATACGTCCATAGACGCTGAATCTGGACCAAGAGATTCCTCCAGTACACTTCACTGTTTTAGAACCTCCCGCAAGGGTTGAATTTGAGTAGCATAGGAAAGGAGGATAGTGGGACTACTACCCAATAATACTGAGGACTCGGCCACTCTAAAGAAAAATATATTGGAATAGATATGCAAAGAAACTAAAATACACCCACATTTTCGAGTAATCAAAAGGCAGAAGCATCCTGAACGTCCATCAGCCAATGACTGGACAACCAAATTGTGGTATAGTCAGCCGCCCACATCTATGGATTATACATCCACTAATTCAGTCCAACACCCCCATATCTACTAAGTGGTATATTATTCAGTCATAAAAGGGAATGAAGTACACACTGCAAATGCAGATGAACCTCAAAACCATTATGCTAACTGAAAAAAGGCTAGATACAAAAGGACACATTAGTATATAATTTCATTTGTATAAAATATTCTGAATAGATAAATCCATAGCAAGAAAACAGATGCTTAGTTGCCAGAGGCTGAAGGTAGTGGAGAATGTGGCATGGCAGCCAATGGGTACCAGGCTTCCTTTTGCAGAGTTGAAAAATTTTTGGAACTAGATTCAGGTGAAGATTGCACAATGTGGTGAATGTGCTAAATGCCACTGGATTGTTCACTTTAAAGTGATTAATTTTACATCATGTGAATTTTAACACAAGTTTTAAAAATAAATGCAGCAGCCAGGTACCTACAGTTCTGCCCCAGGGTGGGAAGACTTGTTCCTAAGTGGTGAATCTGGCAAAGGCATATGAAAATGCCACAAGTCCTCCTCACAGTGTATTACTTGGGCCCAGTCACAATATCAGTACACAGACACAGTCATGGGCACACTCATAGCAACAATGCATGGCAGACCTCACGCATGTTAAGGAGGGAGCAGAGAACTGCGGCCCCATTGTGCTGTCACCAGCAGCCTGATGCTTCTGGCTCCACTCTGACCAAAGACATCAGAATCTCTAGGGGGCAGTCCTGGCTCTGAGGTGTTTGGGAGCCCCAAGGTGGATCCCTACTGCAGGCAGGGAATGATCACTGTGAGTAGACACTGGACAGGGTGGCCTCTATGACAGCCATCATGAAGGATCTAACGCTGAGTGGCTAGAAGCTGCATGGCATGGGGCTACAACACCACTCCATGCATGGGATTCTACCCAAGCAAGACTACTTATGCCAAGCTGAGTCACATGTTCCACACCTCTGCGATTAGCATGATTGAAGTTTGGCTTGATGGAAGAAAAGTTTGCTTCCCTTTCTGAACCTTGGTAACTTCCACAGCTCAGGCCAATCATTCTCTGAGGTCTAGGGAAGCAAGAGAGTGCACTGTGGTGAATCAGGCATACCTCCACCTGAGACTCACAGTCTACAGGGTGTGGCAGAGGTAGGCAAAAGTACATGGGCATAGGTAGCTCAAGGGCTGACATCATAACTGAGGCAATCTGCACAGAGGATCCTAAACTAACCAGCCTGGGGGTGGAGGACCAGGGAAGGCCTCCTGGTAATGTGACACCAGAAGTGACTTCATGGGCACACACTAGAATATGGGAGGCAGAAACCTCTGGCAGAGGAAAGTGCATCTGCCATGGAACAGAAGCAGAGGAGAACATGGGCTGTTCTAGCAGCAATGTAGGGTTTGGCTGAGAGAGTGCAAGTGAGGAAGATGCCTCAGGGGCTTCAGAGGAAAGGAGGGGAACAGATTAAATTTGAACTTTACAGCTGAGCGTGTTGGTGCACACCTATAATCCCAGCACTTGGGAGGCTGAGGCAGGAGGATCGCTGTGAGTTTGAGACCAGCCTGGGCTACATAGTGAGTTCCAGGTCAGTCTCAACTACATAGTGAGACCCTGTCTCAAAAAATCCAAAAGAAAAAGAAAAGAAAAGAAACTTGAACTTTACCTCAAGGGTGGCAGGGATCCAGTGAAAGTTTTAA